GGCGCGGACGGTGCAGCGCTCACGCCAGGCCTCGTGCGGAGAGCGGGCCCGCGGGGAGATGCGCCGCCGCGACGGGGCCCTGCACGGGCTCGCTCGCGTCGCTGTGCGCGCAGGTAGTAGGGCAGCACGGACCCACTAGCAGTTCGGGAGCAGTTTTAAAGTGAAACCGGAGAAAGGTGTTGGGTTCTCCTGCTTGGACTTACCGTGCATCTCGTGTGGGAGGGGAAGGGGATTTGTGTTCCTCCGTTAAGCAGCCCTTGTCTGGAAAAAGTAAAATTGATGGAGTAAGTAACTTAGGCCTAGAGAATCGGAGAATCTCTGTGAGTTCTTAAAATATGAAAAATACACCCCTCAGAGAATTCTGAAATTTAAGGACGTGTGTATTGATGTCAGTATATGCAAACTTCCTTTTATGTAAGTAAAATACGTAGGGTATGCTTAGGAGAATTGAGTGTTTTTGATACTAGTTCACCGAGGTTTGAATGTTTGAAAAAATTTTTTCTAAGTGTGAGAAACGACATCAGAAAACTGAGAAATATTGAGACAGGACTAAGGAAGTTCCCAAGTATGTTTTTCTTTATAATTGAAAGAGGGCTGGATTTATGAGTTTGTAAGGTCAGTTTTCCTACTGAGTCAACTCACAATTACTTATCAAGTCTGACCATTTCTTAGCAGAATTAGAGTTACTTAAAATTTTGTGACGTTTTCTAGGAAAACAGGTTTTCTAGGAAATGTTTTGTGAGGCTGCTCATTCTTGAAGTCTTGACTTGTAAGTCACGTTTTTTGCTCAAATATGGATTAACTCTGATCTCTTCAGATTTGGCAACTCTCACCTGTTTTCTTTTCCCATCCTTTCATTGGTTCATCAAGTACTGGGTACAAAACCTTGTACCAGTGACTGTTCTAGGGGTTAGGGATTTGTCACTGTCTCTTGAAAGACTGCCTTCTGGAGCTAATACTTTCGAGGGTGACAAGCAGGGGAGACCTTATTCCCTTAGAGGGAAGATTGGGGTATTCTGTGAATAGTCAACACATAGTGCTGGACCTCTTTGTTGTTCTTAGTAACATTTTTAAAGCTAATTTGGATCTTTCTTGACTGTGACTTGTTGCTCTGTAATTTTTCTGAACTCTTCAATGAAGTTTGTGTAAGTAACTAGGGTTTGATATTTTAGTGGTTAATAGTTGCTAATTCTTAAAACAGAAAAATTTTTTGTTACTGTTTCATGAATGTTAACATCATTCACATGTTCCCATTAAAATAACCATTGTATACTTAATATAATATGTATAATATATATTTAGCTCACAGTTACTTGAGCCTTCATTAAGGATCGATGTATGCCTCAGAGATATATTTTACTGACTGACTTACCCTTTGCCAAATGTCAGAGTACTTTGAGACTTCCAAAATTTCTTTCAGATTAGCAATCTTGCACATAACTACAGTCTACATGGGTTGCTAGTCAAAATGTAATGTAAATGCATAGTGTTTCATAAAGAAAAATATTATTTATGATTATACATGTGTACTTAAAACTGTTTATCTTACATATACCATTCGGATAAGTAGTTACTATAATTTATGGGAATTGTATAATGAAAAATCAGAAGTGCTCATTTTAGATTGTTACAAAGTTGATACAGAAAAAAGATACAAATATGTCTGGGTATTGTTTTATTTTCACTGCAAAAGGGTGGTAAGTGAACATACAGAATATTTTATAAACACGTAAGAGTACTTCAGATAAAGTCCCATCAGTACAATCAGATTCTTTTTAGTGTTTAACTGAATATTTTAAGCACCTGTCATTGTTCACAGAAGTGAAAGTTATACCAAGCTACTGACAGAGGAAAAGTTTGTTTCAATTTGTAGGCTTTTCTGTATTGCACAAAATAACTCATTTTGGATCTTTGTGTTGATGATTTTTAATTAACTTTTTAAATATACATACAGTAGCAACAAAGGCCACAACAAAAGCTCAGCAAAGCCTCCTTTTAGGAAAGAGGCTGTAGTGAAACCCCTGGAAATCAGATGGTTTTGGATCAGTAATTTCCCTCCAAGAAGTTTCTTCCTTGCTGCATCTTACTCCCGAGTTTTTGTTCCACCCTATAAGATTAATTGCTGTAGGTAAACTTCTTCTTCGTACTTGAAAAGCCATTCCCCATCATTTGAACTCCCCAGGGTTTTGTCTCTTCCAGCCAAGTTTGACAAGCTTGGCTGGAATTGGAGCGGTAGTATTTGAATGAAATGCTGTCTTTTGCCTGTTTTCACCTTCACAGTGTAGAAGACATTTAAAAGTGACTTACCTCTAAAGGATGTTTTGTTCAAGACTTCTACTTGGAGATCCTAGAAATAATTTGTTATTTATGAAGCTCATTAGATGTGACAAGAATGCATCTCTGAATGTCATATCTACTCTGTGACTCGGGATGAACTCCAGCAGTGTAGCAGGTAGCATGGATGACAAATGATGTGTACAGGTTTTAGGTGGAACCCACCAACTGACATTAGTGAAAGATGTTTTAAAATCACTTGTGTTGTAATTAATAGCACAAAAAGTAAGAACAAATAGGGGCAGTAAATTGATTTTTCTTCTAGCTACAGTAGTGTTTGCCATAGTTGGGGGAACAGCTTTGTTCCTTAGAAAATTTTTCTTACAGAAAATAATTGTTTCATAGAGCTATCTGGAGCTATCATAGAGCTTCTATAAAGAGGAAAGCAGAGAATTAATGTTTTTCATTCTCTTTCCTTACAGACAAGGTGTAACAGATTCTGGAGAGTGTTGTTTACACTTTTAGACTGGTTTTAATAGTTTTGGGACAGCCACCTGTGTTAATAGCTGTTAGTATATTGTTAGCTTTAGAAGTTGAAAAGGAGAAAGAACTTTTTTTATCAGTAAAGTGTTTATTTTACATTATCTGCTTAAGTAGCATTTCAGAAGAGCCTGGAAAATGATTTGTACCAATATTGAATTTGAAACTTTTAATAGTACAGATTACAATGTGAAAATTTGGCCTTTTAAATACTGCTAGTACTTTAATTACAAAGTTAATTTAAGCAAAACAGAAAGCTTACTTTGTGTATCATTCATTAAATATTGCTACCTAGTAATAGCATTTCACTAGTTCATGAAGACTACATAATTAAGACTAGAAAAAGTAGTATACATTTTCTTTGTGTTATAAATTTGGAGACCTTAGAAGTGACTTTGTGTTATTTACCTTCAAGATTGTATGGATGGTTTTTAGCAATTTGGTTAGATTTTATATGCAAGTTACTGGATATTTTACAGTTCTTTGTCCATTGTAGAGTCAGCCAAAAATTAAAGGTATTACTAATAAGAACAAATCAGACATCAAATACGAGTTGCAATTAGTGTTATTTCTGTCAGTGTATAGTGAAAAGTATTTTGTTAGAATCTGTCAAAACAAAAAATTATTCTAGTAGATTTTCTAATTATAAAAGTGCTGCATATTCCTGATCAAAAATGATAAATATCTAAATTTATAAATAAAAATCACTTGTAATTCTATCAGTTGGAAATAAAACTATTAACATTTTGATAATACTTCTGTTCAGTCTTTCATATGCTTGTAAATTTCTTATGCTCATAGTAAAATTAAGATTCTATATCATCTAAATATGCCTTTTTGAAAGTTTCGTATTGCACTTAAATTTTCATGCTAAGTATTTTTGAAAATGTGTTTTTGGACTGTATAATACTTTATAGTACTTCAAGTTTCTATTACACAGAAGGCAACTGTGACTTTTTAGGTACATAAGTATCTGAGCCCATCTATGATTATGGAATTATTGAGCTAAACATAATCAATACATACTATCCAGTCATGGTCCAGAAAAGTTGGAATAATGGCTAACATTTATTGTGTTATGTGCCAGCATTGCTCTCTGTGATTTACATGTCTAAACTTTTTAAATTCATACAGCTGTACCATCTTTTTTTACCAAGCAGGCCTTGAGCAGTTAAATAATCTGCTTAAGGTTATTCTACCTGCAAGTGGCAGAAGTAGAACTCTAACCCAGGCAACCTGCCCCTAAAGTGAATGCTCTTAAGAAAACCATGGGTAGTCCATAGAGAAGTTTTATGTAGTTTTGCACTAGGGTATTCAACATATGTGTTAGGAATATGACTAAAATGAAAGGAGACTTAAATCACAGACTTTAAGGTGTGGGCTCTGGTGTGCCATGGTTTGACTACCAATCACATCTCTGTGTGACTGCTGTCTTTAACAAGTTCTTTCACTTCTAGCATTAGTGT